AGACTGAAGGGGAGGTCAGATAGAAGACTGAAGGGGAGGTCAGATAGAAGACTGAAGGGGAGGCCGGAGGTCAGATAGAAGACTGAAGGGGAGGCCGGAGCTTGGCTTTAGGGGGGTGCTGACTGGCACTTTAAACAAGCAGCTATTCGGCAAGCGTCAAGAAGTGCTAGCAGCTTATTTAAAGTAACCGTTCGCATTCCTGTAAGATCTGTGCTTAATGTCCCCAAACTGGAGCTTGGGGGTGGTTAAAAAGGCATCCGCATTGCTGCCCAAAGCTTGACGAGTGCTTAGCAAAAGCTTGCTGCTCTTATACAAGCTGAAGCCTAAGGCTTGGCAGACTCCTCAGTTTGTCAGAATTCAGCCCCAGCAATGTCTATATATTTGCACACATCCTGTTCCTGGGGCACACTGGACAAGCGGAGGGGGCGTGTTCTGCTGCCTGGTACAGATGGGTTTTTTTAGACCATTTCTTCATAACGGGTTCACTTTAAGAATTGGGTTTAAAAGGTTTCCCCACTTGATTCAGTCCATCATTGGACCTTTTTATGAATCGAAGGATAAGTTTCCCCCTTTCTGCAGCTGGCAGATTACCTTGTTGTATCCTCATAATAACACCACTCTCAGTTGCATCTGTTCATATTGCTTCTGTAGGGGGGGAATGAAGAGAAGCCATGTCTTGTGCCATTTTATCAACAGAAAACTCCCGCCGTTCATCGGATAATTATCCAAAATCATAGAAATGATTAATATATATACATTATGTGCTGAATGATTTCACATACTGAGGCATGCAATTGACGTCTTAAAGTGATCCTCCGCTTTTGGCCAAAGCAGCCAATTTACTTACTGCTGACCTCTCTAGCTGCACAAACGCACCTTCCCTTCATCCGCCCATTGCTCTGTTCCACCACCGGGATGAAAGAACAAAATGCGGTACATTTTGATATAGGTGATCAGGAAGCGCTGGTGCTTGATTGCTCAGACACCTGTACTTGACCTTCCCTAAATCTGCCGTCAAGTCGCTCGCCAGCACCTTCCCAGGTGTGAGGGACTACTAATCCAGCATTGTACATGTGCCCGTGCCGGCAGGTCCTGGACATTGCCCCTTGCACTGGCATCACTGCTGCAGTCTCCTCTTCTGGATCCTGAAAGGACCCCATTGCTGGATAGCCAATGGGAAGTATCCACATCACAGAGGCAGTAGTTTGGACACCTGAAGAAAGACCCCGCCTCCTAAAAATGGCGGACTGGAGCATCACCTGTTGTAAATAAGACATTTAGACTCTTAAGATCAGATTTTTGTAATTCCAGTGCTCAAATAGGGGGCGGGGTGGAGGTGTGATAGGAGGAGCCTCAACTTTAAAGTTGATTTCAAGGCATCAAGTCCTTCCCCACCCCCAACTTATTGCCATGTTAGTTTTTTTTAAATGCCATAAAAGGCCTTTTATTACCTTAATCTGTGGTGAGGCACCGGGTCCCGGGCTTTCTCTCTTCCCCACTGCAAAGTGGGAGAGCCCTCCTTCGGGTGCCCACGTCCACGGGTGGCACAGCCCTTCCTATAGGCTGTACAGCAGCTGAATCCTCTCAGGTCCTAAAGACTTGTCACCACAAGCAGACCAGTCGTGGTAGACATAGACTGCAGTGCTGCATCACCGGTCTTCACTCCCGGATAGAAGCTTGGTTAGCAACTGACCAATACAGTTTGGGTCTGAGCGGCTTAAAGTGAACCTGTGATGATTCACATCTGGAAGCTTCCATTGCTAACTTGGTTTTTAAAAGATTCAGGCTCCAGGGCCGTCCTGTCTTCACTACCTAGTGAGTCACTGACCTAGAACAAGCATGCCCCCAGTAAAGTCTGAGAAATCAAAAATCCTGCCCTGCATGCTTTAACCAAAAGACTTTATCCAACTCTTGTCCGGATCTGATCTTTAAATTGAGATACAAATGGCACATGTGCGGGGTCTGGAACGCAAACTACGGGGCTAAGCGGCAGGCAAAGAGGGAAAACTGTTCAAGATGGACAAGCCAGGCAGATAGTGATTGCATCAGAAAGTGCAGTAGGGTAGAGGAGGATACGGGCTTTTGGTTATAACTTCTCTTTAAAAATGCAGCTCAATGGCTGCAGCGGGAATAGGCGAGTATAAATGGGTTAGATGGAAGGCTTTCAATAGAGAGAGTGGGGAAGGGTCATGTCTTCTGACTGTGTTTTTTATTGCTGTATGTGCCTTCCTCTTTTGGTGGTCACTGCTGCCCCTATTACTTGTCCTGGGGTCACATGGCCGGGAAGTGAGGCAACATTTCCCCAGTGGTGTCACAAGCAAAAGCCCAATGGAAATGTGAACGCTTCCTCCACTGTATCCAGAACCCAAGAAATGTTTTTTGGTGAAGGGACTCATTTTGGTGCAAAGTGCATTCATCTATAGCAATTGTAACTTGTATAGTAATATAGCGAACTTTCCTTCTGCAGTCAGTACCGTTTATAAGCCCGACAGTGCGCCCCCTACCATTACCAATCCCTGGGCCAGTAATGTCCAAGAGGGTGTTAACCTACCCTTACCAATTCTGGGGCCTGGACTGTGTCTGATGGCTCACACCTAACTTTACCAATCATCGAGCCAGCAATGTCCCAGACGGCGCCCACCTGCCTTTGCAGAGCTGTCCCAAACGGCTAATATCTACCGTTGCCAATCCTGGAGCCCACCAATGTCCCAAACGGCGCCAACCTGCCTTTATCAGTCTTTGGGCCAGCAATGTCCCAGACGGCGGACACCTGCCTTTACCGATATTTGGGTCAGGACTGTCCCAGACGGCTCACACCTACCTTTTACCAATGCTTGAGCCAGCAATGTCCCAGACGCCACACACCTACACTTATCGGTCTTTCGGCCAGAACTGTCCAAGGTGGCTAGCACCTACTTTTACCAGTCCTAGGGCCAGCAACGTCCAAGACTGTACTAACGTACCCTTGTTGATTCTCGGGCCAGCAACGCCCAGGATGGTTTGCACCTTTCAGTCCTTGGTTCACCAATGTCAAAGGTGGCGCCCACCTACCCTTACCGATTTTTGGGTCAGCAATGTCCAGGACGGTGTACACCAACCCATACCAGTCCCTGGGCCAGCACTGTTCCAGATTACAAAGCTTTTCTCCTGGAGCTGACAACCTGACCACGATTGAAAAAGGGATCCACAAATAATCTGCAGCACCAATGTGGATATTCGGAACATAGAAAAATAATCTGCAGCACCAATGTGGATATTCGGAACATATACTGTATTTTAGCAGAGACTGTATGTAAATCAGAAAGAATATAAAGAAGTTCCTGTACCTTTTCAGATTCTTTGGCACTTGTAAGATTTTAAATGTAAATAGTTTATAGTTTTTTTTTCCTTTGATCATTTTAACATACTTTTGGGGGCTGTCACATGACTAGTGCAATCTTTTAGTAAATTGAAATAAAATATCAATTGTTGTTTTCCCCGATCTGGATCTTGTATTTTAATTTTTTTGTGACCAATTTTCCTTTTTAAAAACACAGGCTTTACCCGGGACTTCATCGTAGAGGCCTCAGTGAGGTAGTTCTGACATTGGGCGAGACGCATAGGAGGAAAAGTTGAGACTGGCTGGCGATGTGATGTACTGCGAGCAATGAAGCTGGTAGGAAACATGGAGACAGCACTTTTATTTGTGGAACCCCAGATTGGAAATTAACTTCAAGGAAACTGCTGAAAGCTTTGTATAGACTTGCTGTACACGCGGCTGCATACTGAAGCCCATGTGTACAAGGCCTCAGGTAGGCTACGGTCAAAAACAATTGAGAATGAGCCGTGGCGTGTTCATATGTAAATAGTGCCACCCATTCATATGTATATCACAGTTGAGACTATTTTTAGTGGGGGTGGGCAGTAGCCCCTATCTTACTTTTGGTTCCCCCTGTCTGCCTGACATCGTGTGTCCGGGTTCTGCTGCCATGAAACCCGGACACAGCATTCAAAACCCGGGTGAATCCTGGACAGGTGGCAACCCTAATCCATTGGTCGGAAGTTCATGTTTTTTGCCCCTACACAACCCAACCCTTAACTTGGGTGCATGACGTACAAGACTGAATTGCATATGAGCACTCTTATAGACATATGGGGTTGATTTGCTAAAGGCAAATAGACTGTTCACTTTGCGAGGGAATTTGCACTTCGCTGGAAAAAGTTTTCCTTGGCTTAGTGAATGTTGTA